TGAGTTACCTTACCTAAAATTTGGGAATGAATAACTCATTCCTTTATTGTGTTCTAAAATAACCTGAGAAATATAAAACTTAAGCCCTTACTAGTCATAAAATGTGGATGAATTACAAGATTTTTACCTAAAATTATTTATTTGCAAGGTGGAGCCATCAAGAATTACTTCTGACCACCCTAAGGTCATAGGGAGGAAGCATGAAAGAGACAGGCATCCAAAACAGAAGAAGGAAACAGAGTCTTAAGAGTGAATCTACCCATTTTGATTTTGAACTAGCCTCAAAGACTTTCCTTCAAATAGCAATGACAGTTGGGATAAAAATCATATTGTTTTAAACATCTGCTATAACAGTCCATGCGCAGTCGAAGAAAAAGCATGGCACACTGGGAACAGCAAGTTGGAACTCTAGAGGCCCACTTTGAAATCCTAGCATCATCACTTTTTGCAGAGGTTTGAACCAAATGCTCAATTCAGCTTTGGAGTTTCAAGTTTTTCTTCTCTGATACGGTAGTAATAATATCTTCCTCAAGCCATTACTGTATGAGGGTTAAATAAAAAATAAATAATGCCTATAGAAAGGACTTACTCGGCTCCTGGAATGTGGCATTTTTAAATTCCTGTTCCTCTCTGCAAAACAACAACAAAACAAAATAATAATCTTAGTTAGGTAGAACGACTGAAGCAAAAAAGGGCATTGTTCCACTTCCCAAACCAAATAAGACAGAAACTGAAAGAATCTACTGCAGAAATAGCAATAAGAAATGCGGACTTGAGGCTCTTTTAGACTGTAAAGAGATTCTAGTTAACCCAGTTAAGGTAATGGGACCTTAACTGGCCTAAGGGAAACTCCTTGTAATAAAATTGTGAGAACACATAGACCTGTGCTGACTACCTCTCAGAGAATGAAACCTGAAAGCAGATTCAGACAATTGACAAGTATTATAATTGATTCTGATAGAAACTTTAATATAACCACAACAGAGAGAAAAATTGGACATTAGCATGAATGTCATTATTGTTATAATATATTTGCATTTTCTCCCTTGTTGAAATAAGACGGGAGTTTCAAACTAGTACATGGGTCAATTTTTGTATTAGTCATTTATTAATCCTTATGTCTAAGTATTATTTATAATTTGTAAATGTTTCTAAACCAGATCTTGGCATTAATTTGAATTTCCTCATGAAATGATTGTCATTTGCATTCAGTTCCTGAGAGTCCCAGCTGTCCTATCCCAGGGAACATTCCTGTACTATAATCTCCTGGAGGTGACATTGCAAGAGAGGTGTGTGGAAGTGTTTCTGTGTCTAGTTAAGAACTGTCACATACCTCCAATGCTATGTAAAATGAGGTTATTGTTACAAATAGGACTCTTCAAGTCCAAATGTGCTTGATGTGGCCCAATTCTCAGTTTTTCCCTTGCAATAACAGGGTTAAAGTTTTTTGGGGAAAAAATTTTTTTAAGAAAACTGCAGAAGTTGCTGCTACATCAAAAATCAGCTTGGTTACTATTAAAATTATATTTAACAGTTACCATATACAAGCTTCTATTTTTCGGTTGGCTACACACAGATGTGGATCTAAAGGAGGAAGTGCGTGACTTTCATCTTCCCTTGATAATTTTATGTTGATTACAAATTATATAGATGGAAGGAATGTGAAATAAAGTGTAATGAAGGCCAAGAAAAGAAGGGGATAGCATAGTTCAGCGGCTGAGAAAACCAATTTCAGAATCACAAAGATGTGTTCTAATCAGACTTTTTCAACTTATTAGCAGGATGACCTTTGGCAACTTATTTTAACTTCTCTAAATTTGTTTCCTGATATTAAAAGGATGCTTAATACTCCTATATTACAGTTATTATGAAAATTAAGTAAGAATATATACAGTATAAAAGTTCTTGTCACAGTGTCTTGAACATATAAGCACTTAAGTATATTTGATCAATTATATTATTACTTTTCTTTATAATAATAATAAATGCTCAATTATTATTACTTGGTTGTTGTGGTTACTATTATTATCATATTTATTAAGAAATAAGTGCTTGCAGAAGAAAGAGAGATGCTTTGAAGATGGAGAAAGGGGCCATGAAACAAAGAATGTGGGCAGCCTCTAGAAGCTGGACAGGACAAGGAAATGGATTCTCCCCTAGAGTGTCCAGAAAGGAGTGCAGCCCTGCCGACACTGGTTTTAGCCCTGTAAGACCTGTTTCAGCCTTCACCTTCAAAACTTTGTATTTTGGCTCCAGGCCCAGAAAAGCAGCAAAACCAGACAAGTGGCACCGTGGCTGCCTCAGGACCAGCTACATTGCCTAATGACCCCCTGCCCTGGCATCAACCAATCAGTAGAGACCACGACTCTGAAAGAGCATACCTGGAAAGCTGATGAATGGTCTATTGAGACTTCCCCTAAGATTTACACCTGCAGAAAAGAGACAAATATGCTCAGGACAAAGGACCCAGTGTGCTCCCCCCCTCAAGGCAGCAACCCCAGCACCATCTCCTTCCCCTTCCTTCCCTCCAAGGGTACCCGAGGAGACTTGCAACAGTTCATCTTGGGCTTACCCACTGAACCTGTCTCCAAGGCCCCCATCTCTGACTTTTCAGCGAGCCAAAGAAGCCCAGCCTAAGCTCTCCTGTTATTTCTATGCACCTTCTTTGTTCCACCGTCTTAAGTATATTTTTGCTGCTGTCATGGACCCAATACCCTTTGACCCAGTGCTGTGTAGCCCTTCCCTTTGGATATCCCCACTCCCCATGCCTTTTTAATTACATTTTTCTTTAGGAAAAAAAAAAAAAAGAAATAAAAAACTGGCCCTAGGCAGTGTGGCTCAGTTGGTTGAGGGTACTCCCATGCACCGAAAGATCGCAGGTTCAATTCCCAGTCAGGGCACACACCCAGGTTGCAGGTCCGATCCCTGGTGGTGCATGCAGGAGGCAACCGATCAGTATTTCTCTCTCACATCGGTATTTCTCTCCATCTCTCTTCCTCTCTCTCTAAAATCAATAAAAACGGAAGGAAGGAAGGAAGGAAGGAAGGAAGGAAGGAAGGAAGGAAGGAAGGAAGGAAGGAAGGAAGGGGAAAGGAA